AGTAGCTTGGCTAAGATTGGCTCTTCTATGTGTGTTCGGCAATATGAGTGGGTAACAATTGAGTTGGGCACTGAGGGGAAAAGACGCGTGAGAAGAACCAAAACCTGCAACTGCACTCAAGATTACACTAACGCTGACGCTTGTTAATTAATGTGATTCCTGAGTACATATGATTTGAGGAAATAAGTTTAACATTTCTCGAACACTATCAAATAATTTTACTGGAATAATTATGTATCTGTACTTTACATTAAAATTGGAAATAAAATGTAAACATTCTTTGAGACTCGTCTGAGTAGCATAGAGCTGAGGTTATTTATTGCCGAGCTAAATTACATGTTCTCGAAACTTTCACGTAATATTCCGTTATAACAGAATCGTCACTAGTTCATACTCGAGGATGAATGTGAGAAAGGTCTGAAAATCAAAGAGTCCGGGCTAACATCTCAAAACAGTTTAACTAAAACTTAGAGATCTTAGTCATAATTATGACTACGATTTCTAAGTTTTACTAAAACTGTTACAACCCGTTACCTGGCCATGTGTGGGAATACTTTTGATCAGGAAACCTTATTATTACATCTGTGTTGACTTTCTTGTGGATTTCCTGCGTTTTTAATGAATGAAAGCAAAGCATCCGTGTAAATTAGTATTGGAATAAGTGTAACGTTGTATTTGGTAGGCTTGGGTTGGTACGTATATTTTTAACTCATAATTCTTGAAGGATAAACCGTATATAAAGAAAGTTGACCTACATACTTTCACCTTTGCTCTTTATTGCCAGAAAACAAATTTTGGTCACAGTAAATAAAATCAGTTATAACAATGAATGCGTAATCATGCTTGGAAAATAAACAAGCGTTTTCATTGTAGAGAGATCAATAACGATTATTACATTTAGAGGAACATTCACTCAAGGCTAATGTACTCTCATTTTAATGAAAATAACAATTGTTAAAGACAATGCAGCAACAATTGCTCCCTCCTAATATTCATTCAAGAGAAAAAACATTCTCTAACAGAAAAATTTTGTTTAATACATGTTGTCAGGGTAATGAGACGAGTGTATGTATGTTTGTGTTTCTCCTTCGATATACTTCCTGCTGAGACATCGTCGTGTATAACGCCTTCGAAAATATTCTTTGTTTTCCAAATTTTTCCCAAATTTTTCCGTAAAAAATGGATTTCTAAGGGATATTTTTCATATCGATTCCGCAAAGTATTGTGCTTTTTTCCAGACACAGCGAAATGTTGGCTTCAAAGCAGCAATATGTAGGCAGAAAACAAGGACATTTCTCCTATGTAATGAAAGCAAAATGCTTCAGTTTCAACAGATTAAGAAAACGTGTTGTTTCAAAGAGCAACATTTTGTATGATTCAGCGAAAAGTTATATGTAGATGCATTTTACTGATACAAATAATCAATTTTAACTGCGTTGGTTGTTAACTCTGGTCAAAGTGCATACTATGCTCTGTATGTTTAAGAATGGAACGATATAGCCTATGATTTTAACCCTTAATATGTTAAACGGTTTTTTTTTTTTTAGAATCGCATAGTATTTTTACTCTTATGTTGTATTTTTACTTCTTCTACGGCGAGGCTTGTCAAAATACGGCACAACTCGTAAAAATACTTAGCGATACTACACACCAAAACTTCTAATATTATATATATTTATAGCATCCTTAAAGTACTGCGATACAATGCGATGACAAGTCTTAACGATTAAACCATTTATGCTGTGCTCTCGATGTACCGGAAATTCATATTTTAGTTCTGTAATTGAAAATACTGATGAGCAGTTCCATGATTGTTACGGCCTGTAGTTTACGGTACATAAATCACTTCACAGTAATCGGAAACTACTGCGCTTCCCACAAATGATTGTCCAAAGTTTTTCCCCACTTGATGTTATCAACTCTATTTGCAACATTGGACGCATTAATGTACAGATTAATATATTTTACATTTTGTTTATGTCACTGTAACACACTTGACGTCAATACAAGGGAATTCTCCAACCGCACACCATCTTGGAATAGAAAAAAACCTTGTATTCAAAGTCCTAAGTAAAGGAAAACATTTTTTATGAGTGCCACGATTATTAGTTTACGGTGCAAGGTACGGTACATGGATTTTCCTCAATTCATGAAAGTTTGCCTATTTGAGACACTGAGCAGAGAAATAGGCGGCCAAGTATGATCTGTTTTACGTTTGGCGTCAATACAAGGGTATTTCCCAACATGCATGTTATTTCCCAACGTGCATGATGGAAATTGAAGAAAACATTCTCGTGGTAGGCAATACCTTAATAGAGTGTTATCGAACCTTCCAGGAAAGACGGTACAAGTTTTTCTCATTTAGAATTGAAATCATAAATTTTATTGACTAGTTATTTTGCCCATCGCCACAAACTCACAGTTGTGATTTTATTTGTTTTAACCTCTAAATGAAAGAATGCAAAAAGGGAAGGCTGAAGCCATGTATGGCTTCAGTTGTCATAAATTAACACTGTAACGTCATCTCATAATTATACTTATTACTTAAAAATGGCCAGAAAGAGAAATACGTGTTTATGACGACATAACTGGAAAGTAAAAACTAAACCCTTTTCTGGGGACTCAAACAATGCTGCATAAAGATGGTCGCTGCAGCCAAAATATGCCAAAACCTAAGCTATATTATTACATAAGAGAGCCTCAAAAAAGGTGTCTACGTATACCCTTAAGATTGTAAGGGCTGTCTCTCTTCTATCAATATATCTGGGTAGCATTTTTGTTAGATATCATGTTTTTTAGCAAATTAAACGGAACTGTTGGAAGAGCTGAATTCTACCCATCTATGTTGAAATCCCCGTTTGTGGAAAGGATATGAATAAATAGATTGATAACATAGATAAAAATGGAAATCATTATCTGGAGAGTATAAAAGCTAACCTCCTCAAATGTACAGCAACATATCTGCTGAGTTTTGAGCCCTCAAAAGCTGAAGATCAATTGCTGTGTAGCAGAACGTATTGAAGACTGGAAAATGATGGTCAATTTCTATACAAAGGCAGTATTGTCAGAGGTAATTTAAACGACATGAGCAGTCTTGACTTTGTTTATCGTGATGCTCGAAGCGGCTTTTGAGTAACAAGAAAATGTATCAGTGACCTATAGCAGAATTTAGAAAGAGAGAAAAAGATAATTACTTAAAATATCGATGAGCTCCACCAAACTTGGCAAATTGTTTGCAGGAATCTGTGCTTTTTGTAAAGAAGTTTACCAATTATTGTTTTGTTTCCTTGCTTTTTTGTTTTGTTTTGTTTTTTTTGTATATTTTTGGCTAACATTGGCGTTAATTTTTACGTAATGATAGAGGAGTTGTATATTTTCCAACCCCCCGCCACTTTGACACTTTTTGCGTTCGATTTTCATTTATTTGTTTATTTGTGTTCGCATAATCGACGATCCCCTTACACTGGGAATTCTTTACGAAGGCTTTTATTGTAAAAAAAAACAAACAAACAAACAAACAAAACGGTCGTTTTTATCATTCTTATACTCTCCGACTATATTCTGTTGCAGTGGCTGTGTTTCTTTATTTTCCTGGCTGTTATTCTACCCAATAAAACTCTTTGTAAACCTTTTGAACTCGAAGCTCCAAGAGAAGATTTCGCCAACGACAAACTTGAGCCAAACGTAGCTTACCAGAATAATATAACAGATGTCCGAAGTAAAAGGGAAGTGAAAAAACTGAGAGATATCTGTAATGCTGGTGACTATGGGATCTCATCAAACGGTTGTGTTAAGAGATGGCTTATCTGCTATGATTATCAAGAAGCGGAGTGTAACGCGGTCAGCTTCAAGTGCCTCAGTAGTATCCCGAGGTGCGGATCACCAAAGTGTAGGCCAATTTATGACTTTGTGGAAGTCAGTCTAAGCGGCACAGTGCAGAAATTCAGAAGAACCAAGAATTGTGTTTGCGCATGAAGACTTTAGGAGAATGAATACCAGAATAAGTTTGTAAATAGAAAATACTGTATTTATTTACTTGTGTACGTACTGAGAAATCGTTAATAAGAGTGCACTTATCGTAGCAGTTGATTTATTGTTACTGATGTAAAACATAAAACAGAATAATATTCGGGCAATCACTGATTGCCCGACTATTATTCTGTTTTATGTTAAAGCTCATTATTGCCATTATTGTTACTGTTATAGTTAGGGTCATTGTGAATAGTTTTAACGCTTCTATATTTTTGTACAAAATTTTCTGGTAATAAAAGTATTGCTTAAGACACTTGATTCAAAAGCATTTTTTCGTAAATGTCTCCCAGAAATAAAGCTTCTCGTTTGTTAGGGAACTTTTGTCAGCGCTACAACAGTCATAAGTTCATGTAACGTCATTCAAAAGCATTAGTTTGGCAGGGGGGTGTTAGTTTCCAAGTTTTCGGTTTTAATTTTTTTCGCTGTCAGAGAGTCTAAGCGAAAGAGTACAACTCTCTGTAGCGTAATATTCTCTAAACCATAAATTTTGTAACGGTAACAGTATAATGATTAAAGAAATTAACAACATTTGTGGTTCTTTATTAACAACCACGTCTTCCATTATTTCCACGTAATACTGAATTCTGAAACAAGATACAAGGGAGATGGAAGTGTCAATTCAACCACTAAATGATTTTTTTTTGAGCACCTCAGCTGCAAAATGTTTACAAATTATTTAAAGTATACGAGGAGAGGAAAAACTTTGTAAAGGTAACAGTATAATGATTAAAGAAATCGACAACTTTTGTGGTTTTTTTTTTTATTAACAACCACGTCTTGCAGTTTCATTATTTCCACGTGATATTGGATTCTGAAACAAGATGCAACCGAGATGGAAGCGTCAATTTAACCACAGTAAGATTTTCCTTGAGCGCCTCAGCTGTAAAATGACAAATCACTGGCTAGCGTTCTGCGATCGAAATATTCAAACAGTTGATTATGTTAAAAATAGCCCGGAAACACTTACTCTCGCGGATATACAAAAGGTGATTTTCGTCAGGGAATATTCCAAGGGAACTGAGGAAAGGAGCTGGTTCACTATCTTGTCAAAGCTGTCCAGAGAAAAGTGAAAACATGGGATTCACTTTGGGTTTAAAGGTAAACTCAAAAAAATTACTCCATCTTTATCAAATAGCATAAGGGTTCAGGCCCGATACCAATGGGAATAAACTCGCGCTGTCATGTTTTTTTTTAATTACTCAGAAGCGTGAGATTTTGCAATGATTTAGTTATTTTAACCCTACGCCAATTATTACCGATTGACTGCAAAAAGGGGTCGTAACATTTCAGGAAAATCATTTCACGAGCAGCCGTGCTTTTCAATTTGTTAACACGGTGATTAATTTGAACAAATCATTTTCCCTTTTCGTAACAGTCACTGTTGATCCTTGTTGTTGCTGTTTTTAATATAAAACAAGCCCTTGCAAAACCGCACAACCCACAAGAATTGGGTGACGGAACAGACCACAGATTCCCGACCGCAAACATTACGACCAACCAACACGTGGAAAAAGCCGCTCCCAGACAAAATGGAGACGGTATGGAGGGGTTTTTGCGAAATTTCTGCTCTGATGAAAAAGGCCTGCGAGACCGAACAATGCAGTCCTTTTGTGAGGCTGGAAAGTATTGGTGCCAAGGGTATGTTGAAACTGTTTGCAAGAACCTCAGCCTTGCTTGTATCCGTGGCTTGGATCAGTATCACCCTCCTCTGTGTGTTCCACGATATGAGTGGGTAACAATTGTTTTGGGCGCTGAAGGACAAAGACGCGTGAGAAGAACCAAGGCCTGCAGCTGTGCATAAGATTACAGAGTGAATCTAAGGATGGTCAACTAAGTGTGACGCTTATTAATTAATGTGATTCCTGAGTATGTGTGATTTAAGTAAATTAGTTTAATATTTTGGTGACACTTTTAAATAATTTTATTGAAATAATTAGATACCTGAAATTGACATTAATAATTGGAAATAAAATGTGCACACTATCCAAAGAGGCTTGAGACTCGTTTTAGTGGCGTAGAGCTAAGGTTATTCTTTGCCGAGCCAAATTACATGTTCTCGAAACTTTCACGTAATATTCCGGCACAACAGACTCGTCACTAGTTCATACTCGAGGATGAAAGTTATAAGGGTCTGAAAAATCAAAGAGTAGGGGCTAATATTCTTGCATGCTGATAAAATATGGTGTCGACTTTCTGTTTCCTAAAAAACATCCCCGCTCCATGGTACATAAAGCGGGTGAAGTTCCATTTGGATGGGCTATTAGGCTCAATTGTACGTGTATTTATATATATATATTTTTTTTTCTTCTTCTTCTTTTTGCTTCCTCAACGCATTGATGAAGTTCCTGGTAGAAGTAGGCCATCTAGAACCGATGATAATTTAAACTACAATCGCCTTAATTGGCTAACTGACGTCGCTTGTAAAAAAAACAACAAGGAAAAGAAAAAGATCTTGCAGAAATTTCTTGGATTGCTTAAATGGTTCAGTGGCACAATTCACTCATAAAGGAGCTTAATTGGGAATAACAAATCATACCAAGTACAACACGGAATAAACAACACTCACTAACATCAAACTCAAACAAAGCGTTACTGTTTTCCAAAGCAAAGCAAAGAACATGTGCTGTTTGGGAGAGAAATCGCAAAAACAGGGAAACAAATGATTGAGTTTAAATAACTGAGTTCCTACCGAGAAATCATGTTTTAACAAAAGGTCGGAAAATTGTTTTTTTGGTCTTGCCTTTTCCCAGAGAAACACTAGAAACAAAAATTTATCTTCCAAATTGGTACTCTTAATCCCCACCGCATCAACGAGCGCTTTCCATTCAACTAATTTATTCTTGTCTTCTTGTCACCATATTCTTACCAATAGCATAACTCCATTTTCTGCATATAAACCCACACTAAACCCACAATTTCTCCAATCGCTCGAAATGTCAGCCTTTAAACTCTTTACGGTGGTCAATTTACGTTTTCAACTCAGTTGTTAACATTAAATTATGTGTAGCTTGTATCCATCGCACAAAATATTTCAACCGATGATGGCGAGTACGCCGGAAAACATCTCCCAGTTCTACAAGCCAGGTTGATTTTTACCATTCTGGAATCACCTTAAAGGGAAGACTTCCCAATGAAGATCGGTGGGTTGACTTCGATGACTCAAGCACATTTTGGAATGCAGGATCTTTCTTTTATTTAGATATAGTTCCGGATTTAGAAATAGAAGGTAAAGTTAAGGACACCCAAGTACAAATTATCACACACATTAAATTTAGTATCGATAACTTTTCTCTATGGACATTAACTCCTCAAATTTTCAACGTTGATAAAAGGACAGAAGTGTGCGACATACATGCATTTCAAAGCACCTACCTTATTGTTTTAAAAAGTTACTATGACAGGTAGTGCGAACCTAAATCGCAACGTATCGTTAAGCGAAACTTTGTTTGCCAGGAGTACATGTTTGCGATATTGCCGATATAAATACAATTTTACTATCAGTTTTACTATGCTTATCGAATCGCCAAGTCTGAGTCTAGAATATTACCTATTTTATGAATTGTATTTTTTCAGTCCTTGATGGAGGCGTAGAACTCACCACTTTTGATAAAAGCTCGTTTTGGGCCAATTTTGTTGTTCCTTTCGGTTGAAATACAGTTGGTAAAAAAATAGAGAATTATTTCAGATTCATTGGATTCCGTTGGTGTTTTCGGTGTACCCAGAACGCGTCTAACCAAAGTTCCAATGCGGCTTTCGAGCAGAACGTTCTTCAGTGGACATAATCTTCTCCCTTCGCCAACTACAGGAGAAGTGTAGGGAACAGCGGAAGTCCCTCTACATCGCCTTTATAGATCTGACCAAGGGCTTCGACCTGGTGGCCGGGACGGGCTCTTCAACACCCTCCTGAAGATCGGATGTCCCCCGAAGCCTACAGCACGATCAGATCTTTTCATGACGATATGAAGACAGCCATCCAATACGAAGGCAGCATGTTCAGACCTTTCGACACCAAAAGCGGCGTGAGGCAAGGCTGTGTCTTTGCTCCAACTTTAACCCTCTTCGGCATCCTCTTCTTCCTCCTTCTGAAATATGCTTTTGGGAATTCAACCGGAGGTGTGGACATGCACACAAGATCAGATGGCAGACTACACAACGCCACAAGGCTCAGAGCAAAAACCAAAGTGTGTGAGACCATCATCACAAGCATGCTCTTCGCCGATGACGCAGCAGTTGCCTCACACACTGAATAAGATCTACAGTGTCTTATGAACAGATTCTATCAGGCCTGCCATCAGCCCGAAGAGGACCAACGTGCTGGGCCAAGATGTGAACACACTAACTGTCATCACCATTAACAACTACAAACTTGAAGTGGTACACCAGTTCACTTATCATGGTTCCACCATCAGCGACAACCTGTCCTTAAACGCCGAAATCAACAAACACATCGGCAAAGTCGCAACAACCCCACTCGCGTCTGGGAGAACCCCAAGCTGACCACTGCAACGAAGATGGCAGTGCACAACGCTTGTATAGTTAGCATCCCCCTGTACGGATGTAAAACCTATGCCAAGCAAGAGCAGAAGGAGGACAGTTTCCACATGCGACGTCTTCGCCGCATCCTTGGCATCAGCTGGGGGGACAAAGTGCTCAACGCTCAGGTTCTTGCCCGTGCCGGCCTCCCCATAAATTACACGCTGCTCAGACAACGCCGACTGCGCCGGCTTGGCAACATGTGCCGTATGGAAGACGGTCGGATCCCCAAGGACATCTTCTAGTCAACTTGGTTAAGGTAAAAGACCCCTAAGGTCGCCCCCAGCTGAGATATAAAGATGTCTACAAGCGCGACATGAAAGGTCTGGATATCAATACAGAGATCTGGGAGGACAGCGCAGCAAACTGCATCAGCTGGCTCTGCTTGCTGAAGAAACTGCTGAAGACAGGTGAGGGAGAATATCCCTGAACCTGGAAGGGGAGAGTAGAGCCAAGCGAAAGGCACGCAGACACGGACACCCGCCCCGCCCCCCCCCCCCCCCCCCCCCACGATCAACTTCAACAGCACTTTGTGCAGCAGAGACTGCCACTCCCGCCGCACTTGTCTTACCAGCCACCTACGATACGATGCTGTTCTGGTCGCAACACCACGAACTCCTAGGGCGCAGTATCCATTGTTGACATCGACCGAAGGAGGCCCTACTACTACTACTGCTTACTAATACTACTTCTACTACTACTACCACTACTACTACTTTCAGCGTAGAACCTGGCAAAAAACATAAGGCTCCCTCAAAATGGCTTTGTAGAGTGTAGAGTGGTTCTTCGGTACAATTTCCTTATCTGATGATCATTTTGTGACTTATTTGGGAACGTTGCACGGTTTGATTTTTCTTATTCTGGAAACATTTGCAACTTACAGAGAGGGAGGATTACAATTTCTAGAAGCATATTTTTGCCCTTTAATGAGATATACATACATGTGGCATAATTCCTTACTGTAAGCATAGGTGGAGATATTTATTCAAATGTGTGATACTGTCAATTTAGCATTTTCCCCTGGATAGTTAACAGTTTAAAGGTTTCACCAAAAGGTTGAGTATTAATTTCCCCTTATGTAATCTTTTCTAAGTCAATGCAAGATTTAAATGACATATTTGTACTCTATTCATCACATATACAAATCTTTTAAAATAGTTCAAAGGATTGATTTTGTGTCTGGTTGATATATTTCGGCTAAAGTCGATTGCTTTGCTGGATAAAAAATTTCAATTTTATTGAATTAATAATATTTTTTTCATTCAGTTTTTGTATCTGATCTAACAATAAAGTGATGTGACTTAACTGTATTTTTTATTGCTTAATCTCTGAACATTTTAATATTCTAAATTTATCATGTGACATTAAGGCATTTGCTATTTTAGGTACCTAATTCCTATTGAAATAATTCAAATTGAAAGTTAGTCGACAGAGTATTTGTGGCATCTGTTATTGACTAGTTAGAGAAAGACTGTTATATTCCTGTATCCATCACGCCATGAGTGAATCTCTGCAACATCTAGTGAAGGAGAGGATGCAGAATTTCTGCAACATCCAGTGTATGAGTGGTCTCAGAAGTTCCATGACATCCAGTTTGAGTGGTTGTGTCGAAAATTAAACCTAAAAGCTGTACCACGCTTCCTTATTGTGGCACAGTTTGCTTACTTGATTTAACAATTCTACCACAACGTTAACGCTTCGGTAAACACCCACTTACAGCTCTCAGCTTACTCGAAAAGAACAGAAAAAAACGTCCCGTTGTAAGCGCATGAAACAATGCCATACTCAGTGGGGCGATAAAACACGTGCCGCATAAATGTTTTTTCGGTTATGTATAGATAGACGAAATCACTTTTAAATGTCAATCAAATTAAGAATAATTAACATATCGTACAGTTGTCAACAGAATTTCCGCGACATCCAGTGTATGAATGGTTGCAGAATTTATGCGACACATGCACAGTATATGAATGGTTGCAGACTGCACCATCCATTATATGAATAATTGCAAAATTTCCGCAACATCCAGTGTATAAGAAGTTGCAGAATTCTGCAGCATCCAGTGACAGACTGTTTTCAGATTAGATGGATTACCTCTGCATCTTTTCATGGTTGGCTGTTAACACATGGTTTCTTACGGACATGCTAAATCTGGCAGAGGAAAATATAAATTTCCAATTCATTATAAATTTTGTCCGCAAAATTTGATGATTTTAAAGTGATTATTAAAACATGCAGAGAAAAACCATATATTTATTCAAAAATGTGCTATTTTGGAAAACACAAAATAGTTTGGAGAGCATTGTTTTAATTTTTTTAGAGAGATAAATGACGATTTTTACATTTAGAGGAACATCCATGTT